ACCCCGAAACCCCCTAACCCCTAAACCCTAAACCCCTAAACCCCTAAGCCCTAAACCCCTAAACCCCGAAACCCTAGACCCCTAAACCCCGAAACCCCGAAACCCCGAAACCCCTAAACCCCTAAATCCCTAAACCCCTGAAGCCCTAAACCCGCGCCTCGGATGGATCCTTAACTCGGATTCCAGCTCGTGTGGCTCCTCGGAGGATTCGGCTTTCGGGGACAAGGTTTCAGGGCTCTCGGGGTTTAGGGTTTGGAATTTAGGGTTTAGGGTGTAGGGTTTAGGGTTTCGGGTTTAGGGGTAAGAGCGTTTGGGGCTTGGGATTTGTTGGTGTTAGGGCGCTCGGTGTTTAGGGCCGTTGGGCGTGTGCGTCTTCTGGGGTTTAGGCGTTGTTGGTTTTAGGGCTTCGGGGGTTTGAGTGTTAAAGCTTGCATGAGTATGTTGAACCTCCTGTCAGGGGTCCTCTCAAGGTTGTATAGGCCTTATGTAGACTGTCTGCAGCATTTTGTAAATGCAGGGTTCTGAATCAGTAGTAGTAGTAGTAGTAGTAGTAGTAGTAGTAGTAGTAATAGTAGTAGTAGTAGTAGTAGTAGTAGCAGAAGTAGTAAGTAGTAGTAGTAAGTAGTAGTAGTAAGTAGTAGTAGTAGTAGTAGTAGTAGTAGTAGTAGTAAATAGAATCATACTGCAACGTGCCCCAAACCCCTCTTCTTATTATGAAGGCCCTATATCAGGGTGCGAGAACCCTAAACCCTAAACCCTAAACCCTAAACCCTAAACCCTACTGTAAACCTTAAACCCCAAACCGTGGGTTTCTGGTGTTTCAAGGGGGTGCTGGGAGTTTGGAGCACAGGCTTCGTGGGCGTTCGGTGCTCCTGGTGATTGAACTTGGGCATCTTAGGCTTGGGGCTTAGGGCTTAGGGCTTCGGGCTTAGGGTGTGGGGTTTAGGGTTTAGGGTTTAGGGTTTAGGGTTTAGGGTTTAGGGTTTAATCCTTGCAGGATTGCTTTAAGAACTGGAAGAAGGGTACTATATGGCTTTTAGGTCCCCAAAATAGTACTGCACCCTGATAAAAAGGACCCCTCAAGGGACCCTAATCTAGAGAACTACACAGATGAGTTTAGAGACTCCTGTTTAGATTAGGGTATGAGCCTGAGCTCTCATGTTTGCCGCAGTCACCTCGAGGCGATAGGCGGTAGGGAGTTAGGATGAGGCAGTTCCCATCGTATGGTATCGGGCCTCAAAAACTAGAATAGGGCTTGGGTGTTATGTTACAATAGAAGTTTACCGCGATTTTACGGGCAGGAACAGTAGTCGTATCTTCTTCCACGCATCTCAGAGTCAACAAACGCATCAAAAGGGAACAGCATTACCAATCATTCAGGCCCAACCCACCCTCAAGTCTAAACCCAAAACCCTACCCCTGTAGGTTTTCCCTCTAACGCCGCTCCTTCCGAGGGGGCCGGTCCGGCGTTGCTGCTGGTTGAGAACGAGGGAGGTGATACCCCGTAGAAGATCATTGACATAGCCTCCCGGTGAGGAATGGGGTTTAGGGTACAACGTTTAGGGTCTAGGGTGGGGTTGAGGGTTTTGTATCTACTTGAGCGATCAGGGGGCTTGTGGTAAGCAGGATTACGATTCTGCGGTCTGTACCGCCATAGCTGCCCGAAACCTAAACACTGAAGCCTATACGCGAGCTTTTGAACCCCATTTCCTAGACCCGCCACCTCTAAACCCTTAAAGTCTTAAACCCCTAAAGCCCACACTGAACCTTAAATCCTAAGCCGAACCTTAAACGCTACTTGGAGGGTCGGGGGACTTAGTAAGTAGTTTATTTATATAGACTCATAAGTATCGAAACAAACAGTTAGGATCCCTTTTCGGGTACATGCCCCGAAACCCTAAACCCTAAACCCTACACCCTAAACCCTAAACCCATATATAAGTCTACCTGTTCCCTATTTACGAAGAGGGCCGGGGCCTACGCTTCTGGGGAGTTGCACCCAAAACAAAGGGGGGGAGTTCGGGCTTCGGACTTCGAAGACTTGAGTTGGGTGGTTTAGGGTTTACGGTTTAGGGCTTAGGGTTTAGTGTATAGGGTTTAGGGTTTAGGGTTTAGGGTATAGGGTTTAGGGTTTAGGGTTCAGGGTTGGGTCTGTAGATGGGCTTGGGGCTTGGGGTTAAGCTCAGGAGGATTTCTCTCTTAGCCCGTGTGTTGTTGACCAAGTAACCTCCGTGCGGATACCTGAAAAGTACAAACTTTAAATGGCGGGAATGTTAAGTCTCAGGACCTCTAAATGAGGTGACCAAACCCTAAACCCTAAACCCTAAACCGTGGCCCTAAACCCTACACCCTAAACCCTAAACCCTAAAAGCCTCAACCTTAACACCTAAACCCCTGAACCCTAACCCCTAAACCCTAAACCCTGAACCCCTAAACCCCTAAACCCTATGCCCCTTATTTCAGAAATTCAAGGCGTAGCACCTGTGGACCGCTAAACACGGTCCCCCTCACTTCAGAAACCTCATAGATGGGTAGTTCTCCAAATTAGGGTCGCTTTTGAGGGTGCCTTAAAGGAATCTATCAGGGTTTCTGTAGGGGTACTATAAGGGTGCTACATTAGTTTCCCTTTTTGGGGCCCAAAATAGTACGGCACCCTTATAAAAAAGTACAGTAAAAGGGATCCTCCTAATTTGGAGAACTACCCCTCTGGACAAGATTCGGGTGCTTTCAACTATCCCTGCCTGCTGGGTGGCCAGTGCGGTGGGGAGATTCACAGAAACCCTACACGCTGGGGCTTCAATGCTTTTCGGGTTTAGGGCTTCAGGGTTCAGGTTGTTGTAGGGTTTCGGACCCTCAGCCCCGCTCCGTGGGGTTTAGGGTTTAGGGTTTAGGGGTTTAGGGTTTAGGGTTTAGGGTTTAAGGGTTTAGGGTTTAAGGGGTTAGGGATTAGGGAAGCCTGAGATGTCGTCCAGCTGCGCACTCTGTCTCTTCATCACGGCATAGATCCTGCACGATGCCCAAGGTCAATCCAAAACCCAAACCCTACACCCAACCCCATGACCCTAAACCCTAAACCCCATAACCCTAAACCCTAACCCCATGACCCTAAACCCTAAACCCCATAACCCTAAACCCTAAACCCCATAACCCTAAACCATGCAATCCTAAACCGGGAGACCCACGACCCATATCTTACACCCTGAGCTCAACGATGGACCATTAAACCCCGAAACCCCAAGGCCTAAATCTCAAGGTCAAGACCTAAACCCGTAACCCTACACCCCTAAAAATCGAAAACCCAGACGCTAAACCTCTACAGGCACCAGCAAGAAACCTTAAAAACAACCTGACCTAACCCCTCCACTCCCAAGCATTCGCATCCGGTGGCTGTAAACCACCCCCAAGGCTCACACCGAAAGAGAAGTGACTTCTTAATGTAGGGGCCCCAATAGTTGGAATGGGTATATGGTACGTGGATGTACGTCGTATATTGCAGTATGTTATGATAAGGAGCCCTAAAGAACATTATTTATATTGAATTGTGCCGTCTCTGGTTGAGAAACTTCAATGGAAGAGCTTCTTCTTATCAGGGTGTTCTATGGTTTCAAAACGGAAGGCCACTGGAAGGCCCTTTAGAAGCCCCAAAAGTAGTTCCAAAAACCAACCTCTCGCGCTTGAAATCAACTGTATTTGGTGGCCTGTTCTATAGATTCTTTCCTAAAGCCCTACACCCGCTCCCTATCTCCTACAACCTAAGTCCTGCACCCTGAACCTTAACCTCCTTCACACCCTCGCGGCTTTCAATTTTCCAAACCCTAAACCCTAAACCCCAAACTTAAACCCTAAACGCCAAACTTAAACCCTAAACCCTAAAGCCCTGAAACTAAACCCCACTTTTCTAAACCCTAAACCCTAAACTTAAACCCCTTGGGCGCTGTCCTCTCTGTGTCTAGCCGCTGCGCAGAACCCCGCAGCTTGAAGCAGCGTGACCTCGGTACAGCAAGGGGATCCTCAGGCCTTACTCGGAGGGTCGGGGACGGTTTGGGGTTTAGGGTTCAAGGTTTAGGGTTTAGGGTTTAGGGGGGGGACTTAGTAAGTAGGTATATAAATAGATTTAGAAGTAACCTAAAAGGGAGTCTAATTGGGGTTATGGTACTTATGAGTCTTTAAAATAACTACTTACCAGGTCCCCGACAGTCCGAGTACCTTTAGGTTTTAGGTTTTAAGGCTTAGGGTTTTGGGGTTTAGGGCTTAGGGGTTTAGGGTTTAGGGCTTAGGGGTTTAGGGTTTAGGGTTTAGGGTTTGGGCTTAGGGGTTTAGGGTTTAGGGCTGAGGAGTTTAGGGTTTGGGGTTTAGGGCGTTTTGGACCAAAATGCCACTTGCGCTCCACAGCCCAAGATGGGCAGGCTCAAACTTCCTCTACGTAGTTCGACCCAAAGCCCTCAGTACTCGAACGGCATCTGGTTTTAGGGTTTAAGGCTTAGGGTTTCGGATTTAGGGTTTAGGGTTTAGGATGTTTTATGACCTAGTCTAGTCTAGTCTAGTCTAGTCTAGTCTAGTCTAGTCTAGTCTAGTCTAGTCTAGTCTAGTCTAGTCCAGTCTAATCTAATATCTTCTATCATCTTCCGTGCTGTTTGTTAATGAATGGAAGTTGCCATAACTTCCTACGCTATAGGTCCTTGAGGTCGACCGGGACGGTTCAGGGTTGAGGTTCTTGGGCTCTGGGTTTAAGGTTGAGGGTTCCGACGAAACCTCGTTGTTTTGACTGGCGTGGCTGCCAGAAGCCGTGCATCTTGAACTCAGTGGGTTTAGGGTACAGGGCTTGGGGTTTAGGGTTTAGCCGGGTGTAGGGGCCTGAATTGTAGGAACTGGGTTTTGAGGTATATCATGCTGCATTGATAATTAGGAACCCCGACGACTCACAGCCTTAGGTTCTTGCTTCTACCCTAAACCCTAAACCCTACACCCTAAATCCTAAACCCTGAACCCTAAATCCTAAACCCTAAACCCTAAACCCTAAATCCTAAACCCTAAACCATGAATCCTAAACCCTAAACCCTAAATC